CTCTTAAGCCCAGGGGCCCCTGTGTGTCCCTTGTCAGCCATTTATTTATTTGTTTATTAAAAAAAAAGCCCAAAAAAAACATGGGCCACTTTCTCGGCTGCCCTGTGCGATGTTTGTCATCCCCTTTCCCCCCAAGGCCTAGTTTCAACCTGCACTTTACCCACTAAGGAGTTGTGCCATGGCTGCCACGTACCTCCAAGACCAGGCCTTCCCCCCGCCGGGCTGAGGCTTCGAAGGACCTCCAGTCAGCGGACGGCGACGGGACGTTGAGTCTGAAGGAGCTTGAGGAGTTGAAGGCCGGCTGCCGTCGCCCTTGTAGCACAGATTCTTTGGTGCAGGTTGCTTGGATGTTAGGACTCTACCTCTTTGACAACTCATGGGTTCTCTGTTAAACCACTAAAAGTTAAACTGCTAGCAGGAGAGGAGAGCAGAGCTCGATGCTTCGAAAAAGAAGCGGTGGCCCTTGAAAAACAGCACGCTTCGTTGTTCAATCTGTTCGAAGGACATCCACTTTTGCGGACAGGAAATGAGTTTCCTTTTGGCGGGCTCCCTGCATTCTGGGCATTTGTTTAAGGAGCTCACCTTGAACTGGGAAGGGGTAAGACAAGCTTTTTGGCCAATGGTCCTTTCCTGGGGCTTCCTTTGTTTTTGTGTTTTTTCTGACAGATGTGAAGACACCTGGGCCACAAGGCTTGCAACCAAGGGGAGGTGTGGAACCAGTGCGTGTGAACAAAAACACGTCATTTGCACATCCTTGTTTGAAGTGTGTGTGTGGGGAGGGGTGTGTGTGGAAACACATTCAAGCTTTCGGTTTCCACTGCCCCACATCACTATACCCCTGAGTCAAATGTGATCGTTTTAGAGCCCGGCTGAACCGCGGCTTTGGGTTTGCAGGCCGCAAATCCCGGGCTCGCCGAGGCGTGTTATTGGGTCACGCATTCCGCAAGGTCCTTGGCGTGCTAGGGGCTTTTTTGCGAAAACCTTTTTGGTTGATCAAAAAAGGAGCCAAAAGGAAACCATTGCCATCTTGGGGCAATTGGCTCCTGATCTCTTGGTAAACCCGCCAGTGATTCATCATATTTGCATGGTCACTGGTTTCACACACATTTTCGGATTCACCGCTTGAGGACTTGAGCAATGTGTTAGGTTGAAATAGTATTCATTCAACCATTTGAAGTTAGGTTGTGCATGGCACTTCGATACTGAGCAACTATTGCATTGTTAGCATTCTCATTCAAACGCTTGTAAGTGCGTGTTTTTCATGGTCTGCGATGTCATTGCCTCAACGGATTGCTCACGAACTTACAGGAGAAGTAACCTGCAGGTTTGGTCTCTTTGACTCAGAATAGCTTCTCTTGGGAACCCGGTCTGCCAGCAGCGGTATGGGAAAAGAATCCTCCGGCATCTCTCTTTGTTTGTATTGAACCAAATCGGCCAAACCCCAAAAACATTGCTACCAGCCGAAACCATAACCGGAATGGAGGGTAGTGGGAACAATCACAACAGCAACAAGTGCGTCGCAAAGCTTTCCGCCGTAGGTTAGTACTCTGTGTTTTGGGTTTTCTCCTTTGCTGCGTTTTTGGGCATGACTCACCAAAGCCACGATCAGCCTTTCTGAGGTCTGGTTTGCTGTTGTCGTTGCCAACGGATTGCTAACGTCGGTCTCGCTTTGGCTTCAGCTCAAGATTCGACAGCTGGGGGGTCCTCGCAACAGCGGAGATGGTTCAAGACCATGAAAAGATCCTTTTGTTGCATGGATGTGTGCTTGGAATTAAATCCCTCGCCATTGACTGGAAATCCCGTCTAAAGCTATTCCCAAAAAGGGTCCCAATTTGCATGTTTGTGTCCCAGGTCGTTTTTTTTTTTTTGCATCTTGAGCCTGTGTTTTTGCAGGGCACTCAAAGAGAAAGCACTTTTTGGTTTTCGGATCCCTCATTTGACACACACGCACACACACACACCCATACCAATAGTTGTTGATTGCACCAGGTGGTCACCCGTGTGTCCGATCCATTGTTCGAACTTCCGTTTGGTCCTCTTCCGATTTCTCGCACATTCCAAACGGGTTTGTTTGAACGGTGCATATCCAGTTTTGGTGGTGAATACATCCATTTGTAGGTGGATCTTAACTTTCGCCAATTGGGTTTCCCCAGTTTCTGTTCCTTTGGAGGACCTCAACATAATGAACCCAACTGGGGACACCCAACTGGCGAAGTTTCGCCAGTTGGTTTGAAAGGAACACCCACAGGCTGAAGGCTTTTTTCAGGGAACTTGTTTGCAAGGCTCAGCCATGGAGCTGGCGGGTTGGCTTGGGCAGCCCCTGGTCCCCTTGACTGACAAGCAAGCCCAAAATCCCCTTGACTTGACACATTCTAAGGGTTGCTTCCCCATTCTTTCCAGGGATGCTTCTTGCTAGAAAACCGCCAAACACCCTGGGAAAACAGCTGGTTTTGAAAAGATCGATGGTGGAAAAGAATGGGAAATCAACCCCTAGACACATGTCACTTGACGAGGGGTTGGCCCAACCCTTCAAAATTTGAACTGAGCCCACTCCGCCCACTTCGAATCCTCCGCGAGGTCGACCTGAAGCAATTGGATGCTGATGGAGATGGCAAGATCAGCCGGGAGGAAGTCGAAGCGGCCATGGTGCTCCCGGCTCCTTTGGAGCAAACGACCCTTCTGCCTTCCGCTGGAAGCTTCTAAAAACGGTGGAGCACAACCGTTGCCATAACATGGGTACCCCTTTGAGAAATGCCCAGAGTAGTGGAGCTGGTCATGGACCCCTTAGTGGCAAAGTTTTACAATGATGAGGATTCTTACTGGCAAGACATTGTGGGGGATGGTCGTCAGTTTGGTGGTGCCCTTCCAGCGCTGTTTGAAGGGACACCACAGGAATCGCCGTCCAAAAACGGGTTGCCAAGGAACCACGCCCATAGTTGCCGTGGTTAAAAGACCTTTCACCTAGGGTTGGTAGGGATGGTAACCAATCCCTCAATAGGGACTGTAACCCGCGTAGGGGGGGGGTCCCAAAAAAAAACACGGCCATGTCTCAAAGGAGTTTTGACCACGCAAAACTGGCGAGTTCTCAATAGCTATCCTGAAGGGAATCGTTTTTTGGACTTTTCAGTCTATATACCCTTTGTATGTTTTGTGTTGGTCAAGGTTCCAAAGAGGCTTAAAACCATGTTGCAGGTGCCAAAGGCTTTGGGCAGGTGAGTATCAGATTGTTGGCTGGGTGCCCTTCCCCAATTGTAAACAGGCGTTCTCCTGTTGCTGACTTTTCCAAGCGGCAGGCCTGAGCACATTGTGACATAGCGGTTCAGGGTTTTCGCGTCCACAAGTCTGGCTGGCCAAGGGAGCGACTGCTGGAAGTGAGTTGCTTGCCCCATTTCACAGGCCCAAGGACCCCTAGAAAGGTTTTAAGACTCCATCCTGCAGAACCTTTCCAGGGGGGTGCAGGGCTTTCCACGCCATTTAAGCCTCATAGATCAACGCGACGCGAAAGCCAGGATTGGGACTCAGTCGTTCGAGCCTAAGTGCTGCAACGCGAGGCTGCCTATCGTGAGCTAAAGCGTGTTTTGGACAGGGGCAGACATCTTGGTTTCCCGTTCTGCTCCGCACACCCCTGTTTCACTTTCAACGCATCGCTTGAGCACACAACCCAAAACCGGGCGACTGGAGGCAAGGGGAGATTCCCAGTAGCACCAAGGACAATCAGAAGCGGCCGTCTGCCTTTGTAGACCCTGCAATGGGTTGGAGATCGACCTCTTTAGTACGAGGCTTTGCTCGTTAGGAAGCCAACACCCCCTGGTTGACTAGAGGGGGACTGCAACGATTTTGGAAAGCCGGATCGTTTGGAAGAGAAAAAAACAGAGGAATAATTAGGAGCGGAGGAAGAAGAAGCATAAGACGAAGAAGAACAAGAAGGCGAAGAAGACAAACAATAAGCAGAAGAAGAAGTGACAACAAAAACAAACCGCGGTGAACATTTCCGCATGTTGTATCGAAAACAGATGATCTCATAGAACCAACTTGGAAAGGATGTGGGTTCTTGGACTTTGGGTGGAACCTTCCGATCGTCCCAGGCAACTCCTACACCCGTTGCGACCCCGCGGGAGGGTGGAGAGGCGTGCAGCCCAATAGATCGCTCCTTAATTGGGCTGTTTGTCAGAGACAACATGGGGCTGTTATTTTTTTGTGGGGCCCATTTTTTTGGGTTGCGTTACAGGAAAACGAAAGGGACAACCCATTTTGGTGTTCTCCTATTTCGAGACAAGCCCAACTTGAACTACCTGCAGAGGTTCTCCAAACTCCTGGGAAGGTTTCCTCAGAACCTTCCCTGAAAGAAGGGCTGTTGGTTTGGTTTGGAGTGAAAAGTGGTCCGTCCCAGAAGGACACAGGTAGCTGGCATCTAGAACTTTCGCCTCCCATGAAATGTGACACAGGCATCGGTGCTTTGTCGAGGGTGCCCAGTTTGGGTTTGATGAAAAGATGAAGAGAAATCATTATTCCGTATTCTCGGTTGGAGACAATATGGGTATGTGTCAAAATATGGGACCAATTCCTGCAGGTAGGTGGCTTCCGTTTCCCTTTGAACAAATCCTCCAAACAGGGTTCCCCAATTTTGAGACACCGGGAGGGATTTGCTAGATGCCGAAAGGGACTCTCATTTTTCCCTTGTACATTCGAGTTCAGCCCATGTTGCCCATCGCTCACAGCAAGTTTACCTTTGAGGATGTCTCCTAGAGCAACGTCACGAGTATCTTCCGGCAAGGCCAAAATGGTGGCCCTTCGCCGAAAGAGCCGAAGCCAGGATGGAGGTTCGACCTTTACTCAACAGGCATCCTCATTTCAATCCTTTCTGCAAATTGCCTGATGGTCAGAAAGGTTTCCTTCAACCGAAGCGTCACAGCGCGCGGCCCTTCGGAAGGCGGACACGCCGCGCAGCGCGGTCAAGGCCATGGCCTCCGCGGCCTCCGCGGCCTCGGACAAGGCCGGCTGCCGCGAAGAGCGAAGACCTACTCAGCCAATGACCAGCGACCTCCGGGCAACCGGTTGGCTGTGGGTCAAGAGCAATGGGAGCCCATGTTGGGTTTTTTGGTGCACCACCCATTTTAGAACCTCGTTTAGTGGGGATTGGGATGTTCACTGGGGGTACGGGATTTTGACCCATGGCCAGTTGAATGGATCTTGTGGCTATCCAGAAAGCCAGCCAAAGCTCCCAAGCCATGATTGGGGTGACTATTGGGGCTGTGGGAGGAACGTTTGGTGGAACGGATCCCCCATCAATGCACCAGGCTCGGGGTCAAAATTGATGCCCACCCATTTGGAGAAGAAGTGCCATTGACGAAACCAAAATGACAGTATTTACCCCGGGGCCTGACGATCTCTTCCTGGGCGGATGCTTCTCTTTTTTCGGAGTGTGTGGATGCTGGGGCGGCACTAAGAGAATCCTCTCCACAGTGCCTTGTCCGTCTCTGCGTCTCTATCCGCTTTCCTCCATTCCATGGCGGCCTGGTCTCTGCCGGCCGGCCTCTCCCCGCGCCTCTGAGTCACAGGCCCGGGCATGAATGCGTGGCCAGCCGTGGCTTTTCGAACGCAAGGACCCTAAGAACTGAGGGCAGGTGCTTGCTCCAAGACAACCACACGCTCCGAGGGCAAGGGGCTGGGGGCTGCTGGACAGCGTGGCCACAAGGGCCAGAGCTACAGCCGCAAAAAACTCTGGCTCGCTTCGGGGAAGCGGGAGGCAGCGCGAGCATCCACATGACAGGTATTTAAAGAGGGATCTGGCCGCTTCCCGGCCTCGGAGGCTGAGGCGAATTCCGTGGTTCCTATAAAGAGGTTGGCTTACACTGGACCCATGGGCGACTCAGCAGTGTGAATTTGAATGACGCGATGAGGTTTGGGGGCCGGCAGATATTGACAACCATGCACTTTGGCAATTGCTTTTCAGTCGTGTCAATGTGACTGTGTAGGAACCTGTTTGGCTTTCGAGGCGCAGATGAGCCAGGGATGGCCACACAAGTCCAGAATCGTCCCACGGAACATCATTTTCCGACCCACTCCCCAGAACCAGTTGAATCCGTAGCTCGCTTCAGCCCGCCTCAGTCCGAGAGCCGCTCCGCGCTGCAGCAGCGCCGCAAGGCCCGGGAGCAGCGCCGCAAGGCCGCGGCTGGGCTCGCTCGCGCTCCCGTGGGGGGGCCTTGACCAGAAACTTGAGCGAAAAGCAATTTTCTGCGAGTACCCCGATTTTGAACCAAAACTGTGGGCCATAGAAAACGTCTGCCTCATTTTCGTGTGTCGGTTTGGCTTTGATCCGATGGCTCAAATCCCGCCAGTTGCAAACTGACCTGTTTGCTTGGGATGCCTTTCGCAGCCAAGGGGCATTGCCACATTGGCATGTGGTGCGCTTGGCAACGCGCCAGCGAATTCCTTGGTTGAGATTCGCCATCATGTGGGTTCCTCCCCTCCCCTAAAACAGCAGTCAAAAGGCTGTATCTTCATCCGATGGGAGCGCCGAACCTGCGCTGTGATTGTTTTTAGAGGGCCGTTTGGGCTCACTTGCTTGGCTGGGGAGAGACCATGTTTTGTTGCAAGGGTTCAGCGTGGGGGAAACACCCACAGAAAAGCAATATGATGATGCGTACACATATCACATACATACATACATATATATATATATATATACAATATATATATATATATAAGTAGACATATACAATATATATATATATATACTTTTACATAGATACAGCGGATAGCAAGCTCCAGCTTTTCGTGTCACAGAGGACACGGAATTCGCACAACAAGCTGAGCTCGCCGAATCCTTTTCTTTTCTTTTCTTTTGTTTATCCATGTTTAAGCTCACGGCGACGTTAGACACGCGGGAGGATCCTTCGTTTTTTCATGTTCATGACTTCTTCACAAACAAGCTGACGTAGCACGCTTGACTTCGATTCATATTTACCGCCAGTGGCGGGTCGCGTTTACCGCCACCCGCGCAAGAGCGCTCGTAGCATGCTTGACTGTTCGAGTCAAATTTTCCGCCACTGGCAGGTTGCGGTTACCACCAACAGCTGCGCCGTAAACCCTAAACCTTAAACCCCAAACCCTGAACACAAAACCAGCCAAATGATAAGCACACCCGCTCAAGTGCACCCGCACAGCACTGCACACACGCCAGCCAAATGATAAGCACACCCGCTCAAGTGCACCCGCACAGCACTGCACACACGCCAGCCAAATGATAAGCACGCCCGCTCAAGTGCATCCGCGCAGCACTGCACGCACGCCAGCCAAATGATAAGCACACCCGCACAGCACTGCACGCACGCCAGCCAAATGATAAGCACACCCGCTCAAGTGCACCCGCACAGCACTGCGCACACGCCAGCCAAATGATAAGCACACCCGCTCAAGTGCACCCGCACAGCACTGCACACACGCCAGCCAAATGATAAGCACACCCGCTCAAGTGCACCCGCACAGCACTGCACACACGCCAGCCAAGTGATAAGCACACCCGCTCAAGTGCACCCGCACAGCACTGCACACACGCCAGCCAAATGATAAGCACACCCGCTCAAGTGCACCCGCACAGCACTGCACACACACGCCAGCCAAATGATAAGCACACCCGCTCAAGTGCACCCGCAGCACTGCACCGCACAGCCAAATGATAAGCACACCCGCTCAAGTGCACCCGCACAGCAAATGATAAGCACACCCGCTCAAGTGCACCCGCGCAGCACTGCGCACACCAGCCAAATGATAAGCACACCCGCTCAAGTGCACCCGCACAGCACTGCACACACGCCAGCCAAATGATAAGCACACCCGCTCAAGTGCACCCGCACAGCACTGCACATAGCAGCAAACCGAGGCGGTGTATGAAAACTGCAACGGCGGCCCGCGTGGCTAACGTCGCCCTGACCATGTTTAAGGTTCTTGATCTTGAGGATCCGTGCCTTCGGTTTTGATGTCTAGTGCCTAGTGTTGCTTGATTAGAGAGTTGTGTGAATAATTACCTTGGCCCGGCTGACTTGGGGCTTCGGGGCCCCATAGAGGACCTCTCTCCAGCCAGGCAAGTTGCTAACTTGGGAAAAAGCGGGTGGTAGCCTACGTTCCAGGATCAAACCGGGCCTTGGGTGGGCGGTTTTTACCAAGACAGGACCTATCAAAAGGTACCAAACCCCTTGTCAGCTCCTTTTGAAGTGCTGTTTGCTTCTAGGAAAGATGCGGATCGGCCAGGAAGTGATGAACGTGATGGACGCGGACGGTGATGGGGTGATCACAAAGACCGAGCTGGATCAGCTGAAGGCGGCAGATCTCTTGTGACTTCCGTTTGCTTCTCCATGTGTTGTTTCAATGTTGGAGCGCGCTGCCGCAGACATTCCCTTGCAGCGCTGCACATGTTCGTTTGCCCAGTTTGACAAGTGCCCTGTCTGTGTGTCCCAAAAAGACATTACAGGTATAGGGGCTTCCGTCGTTTAAGAACAACACTTATATAGGTACCGGTACCCAATCTTAGGATACACTTCTGGCTATCAGTTTTTGCGTGATGGCATGAAAACACCATCAGCGAAAACGTCACTTTGGGCACAGCGCCACTGCCAGGACCTCATGTATTCAAGCAATTCGGTTGAAACATCTCTTCAGGATGTTTTCTTGTCAGATTGCAAGTCTTAACCCATCTTAGGGGCTTCCATAAAGAGTCTGTAGTCACTCGCGAGGCGACCAATCCCGAGCTCGCCAAGGCGCGACAGACTGCGGCAGCGCTGGCCCCGCGGATCCGTGAGTCTGCTTGCATGTTTGGGTTTTTTTAGGGGATCCTGGGGATCCGTGTTTTTGTTCCGAGCCCCAACCTGTTTAAGGCCCCAGAAATCAGAGGTAAAATGGAAGTCAACCACAAGTTTGAGGTTGGAAAACAGAGTCTGCAGTTTTTTAGCCTGATGGCAGGGGACATTTGAACCCCTCGACTGTACATTTGAAGTCAAAATCGAAATGGCCTGCTCCAAGTGTTTCGTGAGTCATACTCCGGCCGCGAGTCGAGCTGTTCAGGACCAGGAGGTTGCAGTGAAAATCACAATGCCGTCCCAGGGATCTTTCTACCACAATTATAGAAGCTGGTACAAGTTTTCAAGGCAACTTCGATCGTCCCGCTTCCATCACGACATGGGAAAGCTGTCCACATTGCAGACAAATCCCTTCAACGAATTCTCACTCCAAAGCGGAGCAAGGACAAAGCCAGGGGATTTGTTTCCCCTCACAAAAGTGTCAAGCCCCCCCCAACACACCCTTTCCGGGCACCCCGGTCTGGGGTTCTGAGAGGTGGACATGAGCAAGCTGGACACCGACGGGGATGGACAGATCAGCAAGGAGGAGCTCGAGAAAGCCATGGCACCACCGCCAAAGTTGGATGGTGGCGTGAAGGAGTTGATGTTTATTATTATTACTATTATTATTATTATTATGATTTTGCAGAACAGGGGCCCTTGGTAGTGCGCGCTTTTTGTTGGCGCTTGTTGAGGCTTGCAGTCTTCGCCTGGGTCAAGCTGGTCAATTGCCAAACTCCAACCAATGCAGCGGACACATCTTGGGCAAGCCCAAGCCAAACTAGAGCAAACTAGAAAAGTCAGAAAACCTTGGATAATACCAAGCAAATCTTGGAGAAAACCAACAAAGGAAACATGCTTTGGAAACTCTTTAGGGCAGCTTATGGTGAAAGAGGTCTGGAAACATGGTTTGGGATTTCTCGAGTTGTTGTTGCTTGTTGCTGTTTTCTCATGAAGGTTAGTAAGGGACAATCCCAGACAGAAACAGCTGCGGCCGTCTTTGTATTTCCTTACATGGTTCTGGGTCAACCATTTTACTACCGGGTTTTGATTGTGAGTCCAGTTGCTTTCGACTTTATTGTTTTCTCGAGGTGTTTTTGTTGCTTGGTTTTCTCGGTGTGTTTGTTTCTTTTTCTTGTGCTTTTGCTTGGTCTTCTAGGTTTTCTCCTTTCAAGGGGCCGGCAAACTGGAAGAAGCGACCAGCTTGTTTTTCTTTGTTAGATTCTATTTAAAATCGAATTGAATTCTATCAAAGCCCTACTTGGAAAGGAATTCCTATATAGAATTAAATTCAATATGATATTTCTTGCTAAATCGGCACATTGTGCGTCAATTAACTGGAACGTGCCTTTCCTGACCAGGTTCTACTTGAATTGAAAGTAACATCTAATCAAAGTCCTAGATACGTGGAAAGGACATCCAATGAAAAGCATGATTCAGAACAAGGATTATAGGTAGATTTCTCAAAAGAGCAACAAGCGTGTCTTTCTTTACTACGTAGATTGTAGTTAATTAAAATGAATATTCTACTTAAATTATAATTGACATCTTGCTTGGAAATGGGTTCCAATTTAGAATCGGAAGGAGTTTCTGCTTAACATCTAATTCGACATAAGAATCATCATTAAACTCCTATGATAGGTATTTCCTATGTAACACCTGAAATTGAAATAAGAGTTCTAATTAGAGAGCAAGCGTACAACTTGCTCAAAATATCAAACCTCAAAATCACAAACAAGTACCCTACCACAGTCCCCCAACCTCCTTTTTTCAAAGGGAAACTGAGTGTTGATCCTCTTTGAAGGTTATACGACCAGGGTTGATTCCCGCTTCTGCACCAGGGAACCTCTCCTTTGCATGGAGGATTCGTCATTGGAAACTTCTATGACAGAAGTGGTTGCAATTCTCAAAATCATGTTCATAAAAGCTGCGGGTCCCATGTCCACTCCAAGTAAATGGGCGGGGGGGGGGGGTGTTGCCCTTTGACGCCGAGGCCTTCCTGAAAGCGTAAAGTCCCGCTGAATAGCGGGTCCCTTTTCAAGCAGAAGGGGTGTGAAAGGCCGGCCCTGCGTCCTTATGCTAGTTGTTGAGCCGTAACGGGCAACGGCTACTAACAGGGTGGGCTTACCCAACGGCATCCCCTGGAACCCGTCTGGAACCCTAGAAAGCCGCTCCGAACCACTCGACTTCAAAGCTTTCAGCTATTGGAGAAAGAAGCAAACCGTTACTTCGCTGCAAATATTACTGTAATTTTCATGGACCCCCCCCCCGAAGGAGATTCCTCTTCCAATGGATAGGCTTTTGGGGTTTCTATCATCTTCAGGGGAGGGTTTCCCAGTGATTTGGAGAACCTCAGCTCCCAACTTGCCAGGACTGGGATGGTGACGCCCCACAGGCGCCGGGGAGGACAGCCGAAATGTGTCGGTTCCAAAACAGAAGCCATGGGCAGATAGTGACCTCCAGTCCATTGCGACAGGTTGCCACGCAAGGTTCCTTCCTTGGGGCTCCAATTGGTTTCGGTTCTCGCATTGCAGGTACTCGCCTGGGAGACCCAAAGCAAGTAGGGAACAAGATCTTTCCGTTGCCTTCCGACCCCATAGTTGGGAAACAAATGGACCTGAATGTGCAAGAACCCTTTTAGGGGTCCTAAATTGTTCAACAGCCTCCTGCCATTGAGCATCTTTCGCGGTTCGCGAACTTGGAATACTCATTTGGACATGTAATGCCGTTTGTGAATGGTGAAGAGAGCCAGTCACACCTGGGGTTGATGATTCATTGGGCTGACTCCCGGACCATCCAAGAATGTTGGAAAACACGCACCCCGGAAGCCTACGTCCGTATGCCTTAGGAATGATTTCGAATGAGCACCTGACAAAATTATTTAGTCGGACACCCAAGGTTTCGACGGACACCAGGATAACCTAATTGGCCGAATGTATTTTGGGGAACAAATGGGTTTGTCTCAAATTTAAGGGACTCTGAAAAGGTTGGCTTTCTTTTTTTGTGAAACCAACCAAGAAGGGGTTCTCCACAAAACAGCATACCCAAATACCATTGTCCGCGGGTGTAGGCCGACGCGGAAGCTGCCAGCATCTTCTCAGCGGTGGTTAATATCTTCGGGGGTGCATCTGCTTCTCAGGCGCGGGACGGGGACAAGGCATGTTATGACGTCATGTTATGGTTCAACCAACAGTTTTTTAGATATCCGGAACAATCAGTTTGGATTTCGAAGGCAAGCACGCCTGGCGATTGGGCTGGTTTCTAGGGTCTCATTGCTCGCACATTATTGGTGCAATATGTTGCTCGTTGTGGCGAGAACAGTCGGGATCCGCAAGCATAAAGTGGTTAAAACTTGTACAGAGCACATGAAAGTCCTCAGTCAGGAATGTTTGCGATAAGTCCCGTGTGTGAGCTGTTGATCGAGTGCCCCTTGATGGGTGGTTTGCATTGGTTGCTTGGGGATCTAAAGCTGCTTCTTGTCGAGGGTAAATGGAAGGTAGCCCCCTCCACCAACCCAAGCCGCCAAGCTCCTGGAGTTTGATGGCACACAGCTCCACATCTTAGGTGCCCTAGGGATTAGGGAGCACGAAAGGCCTTTCAACATGGCAGCAACAGTTGTTCAGCAACCTCCTCTCAGCTTTGGTTGGGCAAACTTGGGGATCTCGTTGAAATTTCCGCACTGGTGGATGTTTCTTGGATGGACGAAACCCATCTAACCACCAATCCCAACTGCTGGGGTGGATTTTGTGTTCATTCACGGTATGGGTGGGGAACCCTCTTTCGGCTGGTGAAGGGAAAGCAAAGGGACACAAACCATGAGATTCTCTCATTTTGAGGCAAAGTCATGCAACTTATCCAAAAGGCTTCGGAGGACCACCTTTCCCCGCCAGCTTCGCAGGAGGAGGGCAAGCAGGTTGAGGAGGCGGGTATGCAGGAGCCTTGAACCACGCGCCAACGTCCCCCAAGATTTTGGCTGCTTCGCAAGCTGCAAGATGAGGTCAAGCAGATTTGGTCCCGGGTCTTTGGGTGGGAATGATCAGGCTCTCTGGACTGGACCAGACGAAACCAATCCAAATGTTTAGCACTTTCTGTCTTGACAAATTCACGTGGCCCCAGACTTCCACTCGTGCCCTCCTTTTTGTTTTGAGAGTGTTTCCCTTCAAGATCCACTTAATTCCCATCTTGTTGCCACGGAAATCGACTTGAGGCTGTGGCAGGTCATGTAGCCATAGCAACTGCTAGGTGACTCCATGCGGATGGGCTCATTGTTTGATGCTCAGTGCCCTTTTCAGGCTGGGTTGAAGGGAAACCAGAAGGACAAACCACCCGTTTTGTGGGTCGGACTCCCGTTGCAACGAAAACCCCTGGTTTCTCTTCGAACTCCCTTCCGCCCAACAATGGGTGCCGATCGGGTATACCCTCAAGATTCAAGGCCTGGAACTCGGGGCAAAGCAAATGTTGTGTTGGTTTTTAAGGTGTATGGGGCGGAAACAAACATGTCGCTTTTGTGGGCAAAACCTGAGGTAGTTTCCTTCTTGCCACCCCCACGTGTGCATTTTCTTTGTGTTTGACATGTTTAGACCTGGGACCGACCCGCGTCCTTTTTTTGCAGGTCAAGGAGAGCAAGGAAGAGCCTAAGGAGGCTGACAAGAAGGAGCCTGACGACAAGGACAGCTCGTCATCGGCCCACACCCCACATATATGTCGACGGCCACCTTCCAGATTTTTCTTGGGGTGTGTTCTCCCCAAGAGAAGTTCAGACCCGCTTAAACGGGACACCCTGTCATTGATCAACCATGGCCTTCTTAATCCGAGGTTCCCAACCACTTGTGGACCACTAAAGATACGGGACACTTCCAGGTTCGGAAAGCCACCTGTTTGATTATTTAAGGCATTTGGGGTATCCTTTAAGACCTGGTTGTGACAACTGCATTGGTCAGGGGCCCCATAAACGCAAAGACGGATGGGGAGAGTTCTTCTGGGTTGTAACTTCCCTGAGTTGGGTTTTAAGGTATGAACCCCCCGGCCAACAATGAGCCATCAAAACGCAAACACATTTCATACAACTCCACAGTTGCTTGAACAGCAGTCAGAAACACGGGTTCACTTTCCCTTGCGGGCAGTACAGAGAAGCTCATAGAAGTACTTGGAAAGCCTTATCATGGGTTTTATCTCTTTGAGGGGAAAAAGCACCGTTCACCTCGGACAGGAAGAAGTGCAGGACACATTATGCATATTTTGGTTTGTGAACTATGATGAGTTGCCTGGATATATGGGCGTGGTCTCAAAATAGGGAAAGCCTATAATGGTTGGTTCCTTTTGTTTTCCCTTAAATTCAAAAACCGACCCAACATGGGTACCCTTTAAAAAAAGACACACCCATGTGGCCATGTGTCAAAAGCCCGTAACCTCAGTGAACATCCCAATCCCCACTAAAATAGGTTCTAAAATGGGTGAATTCACCTACCCCAAAATGGGCTCCAATTGGTTTTGACCCACAGTTATGTGGCAGATTTTTGGTTTCCCTTAAAACCGACCCAACACGGGCACCCTCAAAGAATGACACACCCATATGGCAGATGGCTTTTGTTTGTTTCTTCCCCCAAGTCGCTTCCAGCCACGACACACCTCACCGGCTCGCCGGTGCTAGGAGGCGCCTCCGCTTCCGAAGGCGAAAGCTCTGCCCAAAGCCTTGTTTGTGCTGCTGGCTCACTTTCAGGGGGAAAAAGGAGCTCGCCATGGCCCCGTTGGTTTGGATCCCATGGCTTCGTTTTGGAGTTGCAGAATTTGCGGCTGGGCATTTGGTCTCCAGGCACGCACATAGGTGTTCCTTTCAGTTTGGTTGAACACAAATGGGTTCCATGTTTTCAGATTTGGCTCAAATCAGTTCCCGGTGCCGTCGGCCCGTGATGAAACATGGTTCAAAGCCAGAGCCTTTGCATTGGTCGCTCAAAAGCAATCCGCAAGATTCTCATGCCAGGTGTTCGTGGTTTTTCTCTTGAGGTGTCCCTCTACCGATTACGGATTAGTATCAGGGATTGCTGGCATTTTGAACAACCCAGTTTGGTTGATTGCTTGCCTTCAACCGGCCACTTTGGGCCTCTATGCCATGCCTTCGAATGGGATCCAGTGTTTTTGTTTTGTTAAGCATTCCTACCTGTTTAAACATGGAATTGCGGAGGGGGCAGGGGACCCCGGAAATCTGCTTACAGTACCGATTTTACCTTTGTGGGGAAGACTGGATACAGTGATCTACGAGACCCTTGCCCCCTGCCCCTGAAGGCGGTAGAGCCATCGAACTAGAGATTGACCCCTCCACATGTCGACGGCGTTATGTTGGCTTGGGTTGAAACCGTCCTTTCAGCAGGTCCTGTGTCGTTTGATTTAAAAACCGTAACTAAAGGGACGACAGAAAGATGGAAGGACCCCTGGCTTTTCCATATTGAGTTGTCCCCTTTTTGAACACTCAAACGTCTCACATTGGGAGAACTGCAAAGGGGCCGTATTCTTGATCCAAAATGACCGCTGGCAGGAATACGACTGTACACTCCTTGTTGATTGATGGAGAAAGCAAGCAAATCAAGTATTGATAAGTCAGTTTAATCCAGGGTCAACACTAGACACCCCCATTGGGATCTCTTTTGGGCTTATTTTGCATCGGCTCACTAGATATGGGTGTGTCGTTTTAGGGGTACCTTTGCTGGTTGCTTTAAAGGACAAGGAAAGGAACACAACTGGATCCCCAACAAATGACATCCATATGCTGACCAGAATCAATAGATATCATTTTTGCCGGCAAAACTGGGGTGTATGAGCGCCCCTCTTCCAGAAAGGTTCTCAGAATCCATCGATCAGAAACCCCCTGCGATGGATGGGACCAGAAAAGCGCCAGGCGATGACCAAAGTGAACTTCGTCGCTGGCAGGCACCTGCCAACGGTGCGGCGATCTTACCATATCCGCCCAAAAGAATGTATGGAAGGAGGGGGGTGTACCTCCCCCCACCATCGATTGCGGACAAGGATTAGGGATCCCCTCATTTTAAACAGCCCAGTTTTATCGCGTTTCCATTAACACCTGTCCCACACGTGCGTGCTGGAATCGCCCAACTCGAATGTCCAATTGCTTCCCAAATGCTGTGCTATGCACGGCTAGTTGCACTTGTTGGTGATTTAAAGATATTCAACATAAGCTTTGGGTATCCTTGTGGTGGGATGGGACGGTATTTCAAAAAACATACCGGGACCCCCGTGGACCCCCGTGCCATTGTCGCCGTCGCGTTCGCAGGAAGGGCAGTGTGGGCCTCAGAGATTTTCAGGGATCGGGCTGGCCTCGGGTCAGAGGCTTGGTTTAGGCCACTTGCAGCGTTGTTCCTTTCGCTACAGGCAAAGGGCTGGGTCCACAGGAAATGGCCCAAAACACCTTAAATCAGCTGTTTTCCTGCAGATTTTCCTGTAACCCAACCCTTTGATACTGTCAACCAAGCAGTATTCGTCCTGTGGTTTCCCTTTCCCAATCAGTTGTGTACCTTTGGGCCAATTGAGTCCCTGCCCTTGGTACAGGCTTAAACCATGTTGAAATGACCTTCCGCTTTTGCTTTTTCTCTTGTGGGTTGATAACTAGGGAGCCAAGGGTTTGTGAACAAAGGGTACTTTCGCGCTTGGACCCATGTTCAACTCTACCCCTTTTGCTTTGCGCTTGCTGGAGCAAAAGGAACACATCTGTATTTTCCAGGGCTGGAGTGCCGCGGGGGTATCATTAAGACTGGCCTTGAACGTTGAAAAGGGCTTTGGACCCAATTTGAGTGACATCCTCAAATTGTTCTGCTGGGAGAGGAGAGACAACCCCAAAGAAAGTGTGACAACTAGACCGACCTGAAACTCCGCTTCAATGGACCACCACTCAACGAAAAACAGGCGCCCTCACTTTCAGCTTAGGCCCTCTGAGAATCTCAGGGATATCCCCGACTTCGATTTCCAGCGTGCATATTGCAATGTCTTCCAGGTCAACGAGCTTTGTGAATGCCTTGAACATCAAGCTGGGCCCATGAGTATGGGCACCCTTCGCTCCATCTGGGTGCTCCGAATTCGGGTTGCTGCCCTATGTCGGCTTCGGCAAAAAGCGAAGGACAGGGTCCCAACACGGGGAACAAACAAAACTCCGAGGGTGTGAGCCGGTGGTCCTGACGCAATATCGGGGAGTCATGTATTGCCTAGGTGAGTTACTCCCTGAGTTCATGTACTTTCTATTTTTGGGGAAGACCATGTTGGTGGTAAACAAGATGTTTTGACTTTTTTGGGCCAATCAACTCAGGAAGTGAGGTCATGTTTGACAATGGCTTGAATGGCAGAACCTTTCTGCTGACCCTTTCTTGAATTGTTATAGGCGTTTGACAAATCGTTGGCATTTATCTCGGCTCCAGCTGAAAATAGCCTGGAGGGTACTCTAAGGGGCAATCTCTGATTGCACAGGAGTGTTCAAAGACTGCACCCCTCGCAAATGGTCGGAATGCCTTTCAGAAAGCGTTCATCAAACGGCCCCCATCTTCACATGCTTTTGTGTTTCAGGCTGAGTACACTCAGACAACCTGCCTGCACCATGAGGGTGGATGTTCACTTGCCCAGTGGAGATGGTTGCTCCATAGAAGTCTCACCAGAGACGCCCATCAGCGAGCTGAAGGATGCAGCGCAGCATCATTTCCAGCGGCGCTTGAAGCTCATTTCGAGAGGGAGGCAGCTCGATTTGATGGCCACGCTGGATGAGGCTGGGTTGCGAGATGGGGACATGGTGGCTGCTGTTGTGCAGCTTGGCAAACTGGCCGCCACTGATAGGGCATTCGCTTGGCACGGCCATGGGGGCGAGGTTGTGAGCTGGGGTCATCCAGATTTTGGCGGAGATAGCAGCCAGGTTCAACATCAGCTGAAGACCGTTCAGCACATCCAAGCAGCTTCCGCTGCATTTGCTGCCATTCTTGAATCTGGTGCTGTTGTGACCTGGGGCGATCCACGACTTGGCGGAGACAGCAGCCAGGCGCAAGAGCAGCTGAGGAACGTCCAGCATCTCCAAGCAACTGCCGGTGCTTTTGCGGCCATTCTTGAATCTGGGCTCGTTGTAGCTTGGGGCGATCCAGAAAGAGGCGGAGACTGCAGCCAGGTGCAAAATCAGCTGAAGAACGTCCAGTGCATCCAAGCAACTCGCGGGGGTGCTTTTGCCTGGGGCTGTTGTGGCCTGGGGTCATCCACTATTCGGCGGAGACAGCAGCCAGGTGCAAGATCTGCTGAACAATGTCCAGCACATCCAAGCAACTCGCGACGGTGCATTTGCTGCCATTCTTAAATCTGGGGCTGTTGTAACCTGGGGTTATCCACCTGAAGGCGGAGATAGCAGCCAGGTGCAAGATCAGCTGAGGAACGTTCGGCAAATCCAAATGACTAGCGCTGCTTTTGCTGCTATTCTTGAATCTGGGGCTGTTGTGACCTGGGGTGATCCTGACCAAGGCGGAGACAGCAGCCAGGTGCAGCAGCACCTGCGGAACGTCAAGTGCATCCAAGCAAATGGCAATGCTTTTGTTGCCATCCTTGAATCCGGGGCTGTTGTGACCTGGGGCGATCCACGCTTTGGCGGAGACAGCAGCCAGGTGCAAGATCAGCTCAGGAACGTGCAGCACATCCAAGCAACTGATGATGCTTTTGCAGCCATTGTTGAACCTGGGGCTGTTGTGGCCTGGGGTCATCCACAATTCGGCGGAGACAGCAGAAAGGTGCAAGAGCAGCTGAGCAATGTCCAGCACATCCAAGCAACTCTCAATGCCTTTGCTGCCATTCTTGAATCTGGGGCTGTTGTGACCTGGGGTCATCCAGAATTCGGCGGAGACTGCAGCCAGGTGCAAAATCAGCTGAAGAACGTCCAGTGCATCCAAGCAACTCGCGGGGGTGCTTTTGCTGCCATTCTTAAATCTGGGGCTGTTGTGACCTGGGGTCATCCACTATTCGGCGGAGACAGCAGCCAGGTGCAAGAGCTGCTGAGCTTGTAACACGGACGGCGATGATTTTGTGTGCCGACCTCTTGGGTGGACGAAAGGAAATGGAATCGCAGGAAAGATCTGGCCATTTTGAGGGTCCCGTTGGGAAGCATGATGCTTTGAGTTGACAAACTTGGCGTCCAGGACTGGGTGGATTTAGGAGGTTTCCAGATTTGGCGGTCGCCGGTGCTGGGGCACCCTCTGGGCGCTGAGCAACTGATGCGAATGGATTTGTGTCTTGTTTGCTGGAAGAGCCGGTGAGGCTCCCAATTGCCACCAGTGGTTTCAAACAGTGTTTGTGTTTTTCGCAAGCTGAGTTGCCCTTTGAAATCAAAAGGCCCCTCAAGGGAGATTGATTTGGGTAAGTTTGCTGAGTTGCCGACCTCGCAAAGACACCAGAACAGAATGGATCATGGTTCAATTGCTTTAGCTGGCTTGCTTGCTTGCTATGTGGCTAGCTTAGATTGCGTGTTTGGTTGCTTTTTTGCTTGTCTTGTTGCTTGTTTGTAGGCCTTGGCACCGATCGAGTGGCTGAGGTTTAGCAGTCACCTCAGCCACTGATTCAGCAGGCATTGGGGTTTGGGACCTTGCGGGAAGAGTTTTGTTGCGTGGAGTTGTGGAGTCTTGAAGACAAGAAAAGCTAACAGGGCTTGTCCCTGAATACCTGGGAACGGCGCAATGAGTGCTTTCCCCGGTTTCCCTGTAAAACAAGCCACAAAGGGTACCTTCCAAAGACACTCTTTAAAACTTTAAGGCAAGCTACAAAACAACTCCTCGGTCCGAGTTGCACAGGTTGCATTGCTAGCCTAATCAATTCCCATTTGGCGATGAATTTGAACAGGGAACCACCTGAAAAGTGGTTGATGGACATGCGGCCCCTAAATCATGTCCACCAAAATAAACACATGTTGTTTGAACACAATCTATCCACAAAACAATTTGTGAGAACCCCCTGCCAGGGCTCCACATGCGACCCGGAATTTAAATTCTCACAAACTGTTTTGTGGAGACCTGGCAGGCGATTCCCTGTTGATCCGATCCAATGAGTTGCCAACGCTCAAATTTTGGGCCCTTGATGCCAGACCCAACCGAACAACGTCAACCAGAACTTAACCTGGTCTCCTGCGCTTGTTGGTGGATTTTCAAGTGAGCGGGCCCAGAGGTACCATCTCCTTTGGTGGTTGTTAAACTTCGTCCTTTTGGTTTCCACCTCCCTTGGGCGGGATGGATATGGGCTTGTAAAATAGGGGAACTCCCACAGTCGCGGTTGTACCTTTGATGTCCCACAAGGGGTGCCCTTGACAAAATACCTCATGCGGGCAACCCTGAAAGAGATTGACCTTTTTTTTTTCTGGGTCCTTTGGATCCTGTGAGTACTCTGTTGTGACTCACTCTGTGCTGTTTCTCACCCGATCAATTGCGTCAAAACGGCCGATTCACATGACTTCCAATTCTCACCCCCGGAGTTCCAGGCCTTTTTGTAATGTGTTCGAATTGGAGTTTCTCATGCCGCCAATCGCAGGCGCTGCGTCGAGCGCTTCTTCTGCCCCAGTTTCGGCCTCGGCTCGCTCGGGGGGTGTCCAAGTAGAAGTTGCCCAGTGGTGCCCTTCTTTTTTGTGACAAGGGCACCCCTTCAAAGTCAACCAACCAGAAAAGGATGCCCCCTTTATCCCCCTGGCCACTGGGCGTCTGAGTAGAGGTTCGCTCAAGCAATTATTACCATGGACTGCAGTCGTTGGTTGTCGATTTGGGAGCATATGCGGGACTCACGAAATTTATCCACAAAATCCTGGGGACTTACTTGTCCTATGCCCAGTTGGGGAACCACGCAATTTTCACCGTGGCTCATGTGAGTAACGGTCAGTTTTTGTCGTCAACGGTAGCAAAGAGACTGACATGGGCACCACTCCCCAAATCCCAACAGGAAATGAGGGATGTCAGTTGGTATTGACCGTGGCTCAAAAAAACTGGAAGCCCAAAAACGACTCGTGGAGAGGTCCCGGTCCTTTGAGGTTGGAAGGCCAGCTTGTCGCGGCAATCTTCAGCAAATCAGTGAATGGCCCCACGTTGGATGGCTTGCAAAGGAAGCAAAAGAACACGGAGCATCTTGGAGGAGAAACACCCAGTTCAGTAGTTTTATTCAGTTGTTTAAAGTCACCGAAGCGAATCGACCTTTTCGACAGTGGCTCTCTTCTAGTAAGGCCTATGCAAACAATTGTCACCATCGTAAACAGCTAGGGTTTCGCGGGTTTTTGTCTTTGGTGGCACTTACCAAGGTGCTATTTTGGTACATGTTTTTGAGCCACAGCCAAATGTCAATTGTCCTTTTAGCTGTTTTGGCCCAGACCTGATTCGAATGCTCAGGGTAGGGCCCAGGGGAGTGCGGCTAAGGCTACACAAAAGACCCGGCATGTTGAAAAGGGAAACTGTCGATTGATCTATGGGTTGATTTTGCAGGGAAACCCTTCCCAAACGAAAAGGCCGGAATCAACTGGGCAACTGGGCAACTGGGTTGTGAGCGAGACGGCATGGGAGCATGTACACAGTGTGGGAAACAGGGGTTGGGAAACCCCGCTGTGATACTACCAAACCGTTCAAGCCCTTCCAGTGAAGGAGTAGTCATTTGGATAGAATTTTTTCCAATGGTATCGTGGAAGGGGGTATGAATTTGAAGTGGGGATCTTTGAAGGACATCATGAAAGCATGGTTGGGTGTTTGCTACCACCTGCGATGTTGCAGGGCGCTCCAACCAGTAAACATGAATTTTGGATGGTCCGGGAGACAAGTGGTTAGCTTCACCTTCAGTTAACCCTCAGTCAGCCGCTCAAAACTCTTGTAACTTGGGTCGCCAACCACGTTCCCTCCCACGCCGCGTCACCACCATTATTGTTCCAGGCACCCTACACAGGAATGCTCCGAGCCTCAAACAAATGACGAAATCACCAGGGCAGAGCATTGGCCAATGAACTTTGGAGCACTCCGGCTACAGATGCCGGTGCCAAGATGGGCCATTTCCATGTCAGGGCCAGTTGCCCAGTTGCCCAGTTGTTCCGGCCTTTTCGTTTTGGGTATGGCTCCGCAAAATCAACCCATAGATCAATCGTCAATTTCCCTTATCATGACTGGTCTTTGGTGTTTTCCTTAGCCCTTTGAACCTTTGAACCTTTGGAAACAAATTGCTTTTTCCATGAACCCGAGAAGTGATCGGCTCTGCTCAGCACCCAGTGAAGGGTGGCAAGTCTTTTGGCCCGCGCAGGTGTCAGCGGCCCGGAAGCGAAAGGAGGCGCGCAAGGCCGGCCGGCCGGGGCCCCCAGACACGCCTGGGCGATTTCGAGCGGAGAGCGGAGAGCGGAGCAAGGGGATGGATTGCACAATGAGAGAAAACAAACCCCAAACAATCTGCATATGGGTATGTCGGTTTTCAGGCGACCCCCACAATGTTTGTTGTCCTTTTGGTTTTCCTTTGAAAAACAAGAACGAGTACCCTCAAACACGGTCTAGGTTTTACAATAGCACGAATCTATCTCCCAGACCATCGAAGTGGGGAACAGACCGCCGTGTGAACGTTTGCAGATCCTTCGCCTGGGTCGCCGACTGTCGTTTGCTTCTGCACATCCAGTTGCAAACGGATCGCCGTAGCTGACATCGATCTTGGGCTTCTGAACAGCTTCACATGCCGGTTAAACAGCTGGGCGGTCCTCACAGGGAGGATTGTTGAAGTCCCGTGCAGGGATTTATATTTGCAAAGGGGTGTCCCAGGATTTGAACCCGGGATTCCCTTTCAAAGCCCGTAAACAGGCACCCAAGTTACACACATGTTTGACGTTTTGTTTCTCAGGGTCGTGTCTGGCAGATTGAATACGCCCAGAACAACCTTCCTGTGCCCTGAAAGTGGATGTTCACTTGCCCAGTAGAGATGGTTTCTCCACATCAGTCTTACCGGCAACACTCATCAGCGAACTGAAGGCTGCAGCGCAGCAGCATTTTCAGCGCCGGTAGTGGTTAGGAGGGCGCGGCCAGATTTCCGTCGTAGATCCAAAGACGTATTCTCCTTGCTGGTTATTAAAGGGTAGGGCAAGGATACAGTACTGGGCCAGCCCAGTGGTTCAGTGGCAATATGTTTTGTGTTTTTGTTCTTGAATCTTGGCCAACAAGAAAGGATAAGAACATACTAGGGCGCAGGGCAATGAGTGTGGGCTTTCCTTTAAAAGGATTAATCAACAAAGCAAGATCAGGGCAAAGTATACCTTCGGAAACCACTGCGCGTAAATAAATCGCCATGCGTTTTTTTTTTTTTTTTTTTTTTTTTTAACAAGAATCCAGCCATGCCCATGCGGGTGTTCTGTGTACATTTGTGTCCTTGGGCCAGCCATTGCTGGCAAGGAACAGGGTCCTTTCGACACGACCTGTGAGTATTTATGTCAAACAAACGCCCTCTTTTGACCGGTGCCGCCTTGCAGCCTAAGGGGACACCAAGGGCCCCTAGTTTGACAACATCAAATGGGTTTCCGAGGTTCCCCGAAAGCTGCACCTTATTGGAACCAACAGTATACTTAGACTTTACATTATACATGATATGGCTTTCCCTGCCGAAAGAAGAAAGTGTAGTTGACTCCTCCATGCCAAATCAGTCCCACAAAAGCCTTTGCCTAGCGACATGCGGGACGTTGGGGCTGAGGAAGGGTCAGCATGGAGTGGGGACGCGAGGCTCTGAATCAGTAGACCTACCCTTTGGGTTTCCCTTTAAATGCGAGGGCCGGATATTTTTTGTTACAATCTGTTGCTGTTGGCCCTGCCCTGAGGGCGCCACTGGCTCCGACCATCAAGGCCCGCGTCGAAAGATGTGCCAGGGGCTCCTCTGCATGAGGGTGTTCACCTCGTTTTGGCATTTTAAAGGTGAGAGTTTTGCTAAGAGTGATGTTGAAGGTGAAATATAGGCGACCTCTATATGTTGGTGGGTTCCCCTCCGCACCCCCACAAGGGTCCCGGTTTTACCAGATCACTCGGCAAGCTGGGGTCCCAGATCTCAAAAGAAGTTATTGCTTCTTTGATTGCTGAAGGTGATACTGTTTCTTGTTTCTCCTAAGGCCTGTAGAGGGAAATGCTCACGACTTGCAAGTATGTTCTGGTCGTTGCATCTAAAGCAGATGAATAACTCTTTTCCGCACTCTGAGTCACGAACTAACTTGGCCTATGATTGTGCTTTCCCGGTAGCAGGGGCGTGTAAAAAAACTAAAAAACTGACACCAACCTGTTCACTAAAGTCCGATGCCGAGTTTGTGACGCATGAGACCAGGTTGAGACTTTTGGCAGCCCCTGTAAATGATCAACGAGCAGTTTAAAGTGATCTGCAGAGGGGAAATGCTCTTTGATTCGTTGGGTGACAACCCCTCTTAGTGTGCTACAGTTGTCTCCCCTATCCGGAAAAGCTATCGGATGCCTTGTTGTGATCGTACTCCAGGCGTGATTCCTGGACCGACGGCTATGGAGTATGGGAAACTTCTTACTTGAAGAGAATCCGACCCCGCACGCTGCATAAGACCTAGCCCGAAGTGTTTCTCCATCGGCGCCATCTTCCAACCCGACGGCAGGAAGAGGACGAAGGCGACGGCGGCTGAAGGCCTGGAAGACGGAAAGACGGGGTGGGGCGGGGTTGGTCAGCTTGCGGTTGCTTAGATGGTTCGAGAGTTTGTGTTCAAATTCTTTTGGGTCGAGTAGACCCTTCTGTAAACCCTCCTGCAAACCCTCATGTAAACCCTTCTGTGAATCCTTGGCCATCTATTAGGATTCAAAGGGGCTCACAGGTGGTCTCAAAGCTAATCATTTCGCGTCCACTATGTAAGAGGGGGGTTGAACTTGTGCGACCTTCGCGTAGCGCTTGCTCACTGTTTTGATCGCAGCCAGGGCACGTTAGCGCTGTCCCGGTTGAGCGGCGAAGCCGCAGATGAGTCCAGGTAGTTGTTGAATGCATAGTGCGTATTAATCTCCAGAGGATGCGGGACTTGTCGAGTTTGGCAAGGCAAGAAGCTCACTCAAGTTGGGTCCAGGGATCTTCTTCATTTGCGTCATTTCAACGGCCCAACGAGGTCAAGATTCCTTTGCCCCCGTTTTTTCCGGCCATTTGATGTCTGTAGAGCCAGTCAGACCAAAACTTAGGTACCCCGTAAGGTAGGTACCCAAACCAAACTCGCAAACGAGTGCTTGGATGTTGACTACTTACTCCTTGGTTTGAATTTGGACATGAGGTTGCCTTGCAAATCACCACGGCATTGAGCTACTTGCCAAGTGGCTTGAACATCTTAAGTACCTTTCTGGGGCTCCTTGACACCCCCCCACCACCCCCCGCCCCCACCCCCCCCCCCCGATCGAATCGGGGCAGCTCAGCACTGAGGCCTATGGTCAGCCCAGTTAACGCAAAGATGGGCGCGGCCTTGGACCATGGAAAGCTTGCCGTTTGCAATGGATGCGTCTTTGTTAGACTCAGTTGTTCAGCGGCACCCTTTTTCCTTTTTGTTGGGTGACTGCCCAACTAAAAATGGTCTTCCCCAAAAAGGATTCCTGTTTTTCCAGGGTCACTGAACAACTGAGTAGATGTTCCCCCCCATGCGTGTGCTTTAAAGGGAAGCAACATTTGGGGGTACTACTATCCCCATTTAGAGACACACCTAAATCTTCAACTCGGGAACAACAACGAAATAGAGCCGCACACCAGGGTGAAAGTGGATGGCACGATTCTCCCTATGTAACTGAATTTGGGTGACTAAGCATTGTGCCATCTGCTTTCACTTCACTGGAGAGCAAGACAAGCATGACCAACGGCACGCTCATGCAAGCAGGCGCTTTCCATGCCAGCCCATGTTAGGGCGCGGCAGTGCCAAATCCGCATAGCTGCGCTCGGTTAACGTGCGGAAGTCTTGCTCCGAGGAAAGTTGCGGTGGACTTGCTGGCTGCACAGGCGATTGTAGGAACAGCGCTAGTTGGCTGCCACAATACGTACAAAGAAACAGAAGTGCGCGATTGCCCTTTTGCCAAAATACTGTTTTTGTACTACGCCCAAACCACTACCACGGGGAAAAATGAGATATGCAACCACTAAAAAGCCAACATGCAGATTCAACTACCCATTTTCCTCGCGGGTAGTGGTTTGGGGGTGAAAATCAGCTTAGAGCAAGGCCTGGTCTTCCAAGCTGTGCATGGGAAGACAGGGGTCGCGACTGATCCTTCCAGCGAAGGAGTCCAAGCCGTGGTTGGAATCATGGGGCCAAATGCTTTTCAACTTGTTGCTGGTTTCTTCAGCTTGAGTAAGGGGCAAAGTCGCAAAGCCCTTTTGGGCGTGTGACCCACGGCCGGGTAAACATGTTCGATTGAGTTTCACAAAACCCAAGACATGTTTCTAATTCATTTCCACGTCTGGCTGATGGCTTGTGTCGCAGGTCTCCGTTCGTTTGGCTAGAGGCAACGGAATGCGCGTGTACGGTGTCTCCCGTCTTGATTGTCCTTGCCCATCGTTCTTTTGATAAGCTGCCAACATTCTTTGGGCCTTGGTCTTTTTGTCAAGCTTGTTTGGCTTTTGGCCATGTCTTGAAAAGAAGGATCCCTGCGGGAAGGTGTGCGATTGGAACGTGCCGGACGCCATGCACATCTCTCCGGAGAGTTCTTGCGGTCGCCGCGGGCCTGCCATTTGCTTCAGGTTTAGTTCACATACTCGTAACAATCCATGCTGAACTTTCCTTTCATGTCTAACCTGAGCGGGCAATGCCTCCATACGAAAAGTCCCCAGCTTTTCGGATTTCATCGATCGATCGGCGGACGGAACTGGCGCCGGTAGCAGTTTCTTGTTTTGGTCACCATGGCGTGGATTCTGGCGGTGGCGGGGCTGTCGGGGGCTAAGAAAGTCTGGATGGTATGGAAATAGGCCTAGAGCCCAAACAGGGCATGGAGTCAAAGCACAGAATTGGGCTTCTAAACTTTGGGGAACATTTTGTAAGGTGGTCAACTGGTAAACCCTGGGGAAAGACAAAGAGTCATCAAGCAGAAATAGCGGCAAGTCGAATTCGGCCGGAATTCGACTCCGAAGGTGCCGTTGAAGTGACTCGAACGGTGACAGGGCTGTAAGTGGAGTTCTTTTGGGCATAACGGTGATCAAGGGGGAAATACAGGAGACCTGTGAATTGGGAAAGTGCACCCCCGAACATGCTGCAATTTGGATGCTCGAAGCCATCGCAGTTTGATATAATATACACAGTGTGCACCACAGGACCCAACCGGATCACCTAAACGTGGGAGCCCCTTCTAAATGGTGTTTGAAATAGGACCTTGCAGCTGCCAAGTGAGTCATCGAAAAACCTGGGAAGGCGAAGGTAGGGGACGTCAAGCATAAATTGGTGCGGCCGGCGGCTGCCCGTGGTGCGCGTAGGCCTCGTTTGTACCAGGTTGTGATTATGACTCACGTGCTCTTCATGCTCTATCCTCCCTTGTGCAAAGCTTTTTGCACTGTCTGCTTTCGACTCGTTGCAAAGGGAGCTGAGCAATCAATCATCGCCATCGCCGACTTTGCCGGGGAGGACATGGGGCCCACTCTCTGAGTTGCCATGAGGAAATGGGGTTCAAAGGTGACTCATATGGCTGTGAACTTCAATGGAGAACATCTAAAAAGGATGGCTGGACATTACTCCCCACGTCTCGAAAGCACTGCTGGAGTTGTTGTACCTGAGCTATGCTTAGCAATCCGGAGTTGTGAAGGTGGGTCGAAACAGCGGGCCAAACAGCTTTTTGTTGTTTTGCCAAATGGGTATGGTTCAAAATGAAACCACCAGGGGACCGCAGGTTTTAGTCCTTGGTTCCATTTACCAGGGTTTCATTTTGGGTACCTATTGTTGACCCACAGCCAAATCACCATGCACTCACGAGATTTAGGAGGTTCCTCACTTCCCCCCTCGCTCAAAACCATGTTGTCCACCAAAGGGTCTAAGCAAGTAAAAGTCATGGCCACATTGGTGAGAAGGGTTCCCTACATGTGCCCTTTAAGCATCACCCCGCCAAAACGAAGCTTGCTTTCTTTCCGTTGGCCCAGAATCCGCTGCAAATGGGAAAATATTGGGACCCTTGGATAGGAACACGTGAAAATTGACAGCTTCGCCGAGGTCACCTGCCTTGGCAGACTGGGTGTCGATCGCTGGCGTCCGGGCCTTGTTTCGGGATCAGAGCGGAGACTGCAAGCTGGGAATGAGATTGTTCAACCCACTTGGATCTATTTTAAAGAGAATCCCCGCCTGTTGGGATTGTCTTGAAAGGGAAGCCAAATGGACACCACCCAGTTTAAAGAGTACGGAAGCTGACTGGGGGGTCCTAGTTTGGACCATTTTCCTCCAAAGACCCTTTGGTGGTGTCCATGTTTGTGAACCGGAGGGTATGCCTTTTTGTTAAGGGACACCAGAGGAAACCACCCATTTTCTGGGTTCCCTATTTTGACACATACCCGCTTGGAACCCTTTTTTTCAACAATGGAAGTGAACCCGAAAGCAAACATGTCTTCCAAAACCCTTTTGTCAGGGTTTCATGGTTGTAAGGGGGACCAGAGGGGTGAGTTGACAGAACCAGTGTTCTATCCTAGTCTCCAATTGGGTTGATCAGGGCTGTGACATGACATCGTCTGACCGGGTGAGAAGGTTGCAATACACATAAAATACGTACATTGTGTGGAGTGGCTAGGTGGTAGTTCAGATTGATGTGCGCATTCAAATTGGGTCATCCTTCTGACACCCTAAGCCCTAAACCCTAACTGTGGCACTAAGGCAAACCCAAGCCAACCCTAAACCAACCAGAAACCAAATCCCGACACCCCGACCAGAGGACGGGGGGTGTGTGGTTGCTGACCTCTACCATGCGTAATTATATTTTATTTTATTTGTTTAATTACATATATATATATATATATATATATATATAATACACACATACATACTTGCGTGTAAACATTTATGACGCAGTAGAAGCAAAAGTCAATGGGTATTGGTCACTGCTCACTCGCTTTCACTGTGGCCGAGTTTGAACTGGGTTTTGAAAGCAAGCCCTGACAGCTCACGAGTGTCTCTTAGTTGTGCATCAGGGGCTCCTGTTCCAGTATGCGCCGGACTGGTACAGACCCGCACTATTCTTGACTCGTCAAAAACAACACACCCACCAAGATCTGAGGATCTGAGTTTGCTTTTGGAGCTGAGAACCCCCCAAAAAACAGGAACCATAGGTGTGTTTTTGTGTTTGGCCACATATTTTTGAGGGTTCTCCATTTCACATAGACCCTTACTAGGGAACCCTCTGCGAGCAACATGTGGCCGCTTGACTGAGATCCCGGGATCGGTTCATCAGGCGGGCGGGAGCCTTGTCGCCTTTGAAGACTGTCACGCTTTTGTTTAAGCATGTTTAAACCACATTTTTAAGCAACCTCCTTTTGATTTCTCTTTAAAGGGGACCAGAATTTGGCTGTTTAAACTTTGCACAATGGCTGTGGGCAAAAGGCCTTGGGGGCTGCTTTCTTTAGAGTGAGAGAGTGAGAAAGTAGTTATAGGAATGGACTTTGGTATCACAGAAAGGGTCATTTCCCACAACTATGTTGAAG